AAAAAAGAGAGAGAAAAAAAAAGAAAAAGAAAAATTGAAATGCCAGAATCTATAGAAAGACTCTCAAGTTGTCATTCCGACTTCCTTCGAGTAGTCTTGAATTAATCTCGCTTGTATGATCCCGAGACTGAAATCGCTTTTACATCTGCCTCGCAAATCGCTACAAATATGTTCAAAGGTGGGTTGCCGTTCTCAACATAACTGCTACTATACTGGAATGCTCAGGTTTTAACGTGAATCTACATATCCAGGGCGAAAGGTCATCGCCCAACAGCTCCTTGCCCTCCGGGTATCAACTACAAGATTCGAACGTATAAGAAACCGGCGATCCCAGTCCTCCCTTACGATAAGCGGAAAGCCCAGGCAAGATATTCCTTTGCCGAGTCAAGAGGCACCCAATAGTCCGGTCCAATATGCATTGTCTGTACCCCAGACGTCGCCCCTCATTCACAAAACCATCATGGCTGACATCCGTCAGAACAACCCTTGACCAAGTCGTGAATTGGGCCCGGCAGGGTTCCATATACCCCATGTCCTTCGGACTCGCCTGCTGTGCCGTGGAGATGATGCATATTGCCGGCCCACGATACGATGGAGATCGTCTCGGTCTATTATTTCGAGCTTCTCCGAGACAGTCAGACCTGATGATTGTCGCTGGCACACTCACCAACAAGATGGCGCCTGCCCTACAAAAAGTCTATGATCAGATGCCAGAACCACGATATGTAATTAGTATGGGTAGCTGTGCGACTGGGGGCGGATACTATCATTATAGCTATTCTGTGGTTCGGGACTGCGATCGGATTATCCCAGTGGATATTTACGTTCCTGGATGTAGGTTTTGCGAATCTATCCATAACTCTTTCTCTTTCTTTCTCCTCTTTGCCAGAACATCAAGTGTTTACGGTTACAGGCCCACCGACAGCTGAGGCGTTACTATACGGGATCTTCCAGATCCAGAAGAAGATGAGGCACAGAAAAGTGACACGCATGTGGTATCGGCGTTAAGGCCCACGTTGTGTGTCCGTCCAGCTAATTGAATCTATCGACACCCGTTGTGCGATATATACATAGTCGTAAATATATCTCCCGCATTTTGCCTGTCATACACTCATTGAGAGACCCATATCATGTTTGGTCAACAGACGAGGACTTCCTTTCGATCGGGATATCTTTGAACAGAATTATTTCAGAAATTTAAAGAATCTATGGAAACCCACAAATGCAAAGTATTGTGTTAATAGTTTATATTTGGGCACATTCCAGTCACTACATTCATTGAAGTTGTGGATGTGATTAGTAAGCATCTGGCGGGCAACAAAACAAAAATATTCAACTGGAAAACCCATCAGCAAGTGTGCAGAGTTTCTCCGCGTCGGACGTTTTTCTTCTGGCGACGTGATGTTTGGCTAGCTAACCCCTTTTAACGCTATCAAGCTTATGAGCCTACACCTAATTAAATGTATGCATTAATGCCGCGCAATGACCGCAAGTAGAAGGAAGCCGAAATCGCGACATGGATGTTTCCAATGTAAACGCCGAAGTGTCAAGGTATTATTCGTGTGCCATCTACTGTTCTATGGAAGTAGTTCTCATGATCTGACTGTTACAGTGCGATGAAAAGCGGCCACAATGTTCTAATTGTGAGAATAGGCGGGACATTTGTCGGTATGCTACTCCTGGCCCATGGCTCTGGACCAATAACGGTACCAGCGGTGGCGCCACAGCAGCAGAGCCAGAAAGGATACTTCTAGAAAGAGACGGGGCATTAGAATTCCATCCTAGCCCTCCTGAAACCCTGCGTGCTGGCCATGAAGCGTCGACTTCTATGAGCCAGTTCAACATCCCCCATCTGAGATTGCTTCTCAATTGGACAACATCGACTTGCCACACCATCTCTCGCAATCATGCGGATTCCCGAGTGTGGCAAACCGTTATTCCTGAAAAGGCTTTATCTTGTCCTCACCTAATGCATGGCATATTTGCTGTCTCAGCATTACATCTAGCTATTACTAGCGAATGCCATGACAATGAACGACAGATCTTGGTCGAAGCCGCAGAACAGCACCAAAGCGAAGCAATCAAGATGTTCACGAAAATCGGGGTTTATGTGGAGCCGCCAGACCCCAATGTAAGCTTTGCTCTCTCGAGTCTCTTGATTGGCTTTGCCTTTGGCTTCCCTCTCGCCATGACCTCGCAACATCAAACCAAAGCCAATTCGCTAGATGAGCTGGTTGAGATATTCATGCTTAGCCGCAAAATGATCAAATTCGCCACACCCTCGATGGACAAGGTTCATACCAGCGAAATAGGCGGCCTTCTCCTGGTTGAGGAAGTACAGTCGAGTCTATCTTCCTCTTCCCGCGTGGTGATCAACGCTCTCCATGAACTACTGAATACTGTGTACTCGCCAACGCATGAACTCTACCAAGTATTTGCCGATACTATTGCCTGTCTCGAAAAGCTATATATGGAGCTAGATGGCACTGGAGACATTGTTTCGAGGGCCTTCATGTGGATCTGCGACGTACCGGAGACATTCATACTTAGTCCAGACTTCGAATCCGTTTGCATTGGTGATCATAGCACACTATTGTGTAGTCCTGCATCGGCTGAGAAAGTGCTGGTGGGTTGCATCATGGGGGGAGCGCGTGATGAATGTCATTGTCACGACTTTGAGCCCGGAATGGAAACCTTCTGTAGCCTGGGCTCTCGATACAGTGAAAGAGCGACATTAAGGGAAGCAAGGGGGAGAAAAAGACCACCCTTGTTTGTTACCATGAGCACCGCCGATTCGCTATACACCATTGTTGATGCTGAGATATTTACACTCATCCATCCATTAGTATACGAAATTTAATACCCGACCCTGATAGCCCACTTCGATGTGTGTTTGAAGTACTTATTATGACCAGACACACCGTTTCATCCACACTTTGCCGGCAGCCTAATAATGTCGATCACAGCAGGTGCGGCTTTAGGTTGTTCCTAAGATAAACTCATGGGAGCTCTTCTGGGAACCTGTGCAATCGAGCGAACTTCACACGAAACAAGTGTTGGACCCGAACTGTGCTCTATCATTTTCATATATCTCGCCAGGAATATCATGCCTAGGGACCGCTACTAAGCTTCTCCCTTGCAGTCACTGTAACCCACATGTCGGTCACGGCAAAAAGGCCATTGACGTTCTTTCTACGCCACGGTTGTTCTGGATTGGCAAGCGCCCAATCAAAGTTACGCAGCGCCTTACAGCAAAGTCAGTATGTGAAGAGCGACTATGTTCAGGAGAGGGAACTCATCATGTACCTCGAAAACTGTCTTGCCGATTTCAATTAATGCAACAGTCTGGCCGAGACATTTCCAGCGACCGTAACCGAATATAAGATCGTTGACTCTCGTCATATTCGCCAGGTGATCTTTGTCGTCAATTAGCCATCGTTCCGGCCTGAAAAGTTCCGCATCTTCCCCATAGGTGGCCTTGTTGTGATGCATGCCCAGCGCAGAATACCCAATCCAAGTGCCACCAGGGATTGTAACAGATTCACTATCCACGGTTACTTCGTCACCTTCAGACGGTACGTCCCTCGCGAAGATATTGACGACCGGGACAAAGATCCGCAGTCCTTCCCTGATCACCGCCTGCAGGTATTTGAGTCGTCGCAGTTGGGCGTCAGAAATGATCCCGCTGGATGGTGCCCTGCCATCTTGAACCGCGCCATCAACCTCAGCTTGCAGCTTCTTATACACTCGCGGATTTGAAAATAGACAAAGTAGGATGCCGCGGATGCCTGATGCCGTGGTGTCGGATCCGGCCAGAACCTGCTCAAATGCCTCCATCCATAGTTCGTTGCCGATTAGCCCATGTCGGATAAACGAAGCAAGCATGTCACTCCTCGCATCGGTCGGGCTGTGTAGTCGCTTCGCCACCATCTGCCCGGTCGTGGCCATCATCTTCCCGAAGCCTGTCGCGTCATTCGTGGAGGGTCCGAGAAGCTTCCCAACCCACTCAATTTGCATGATCCAGTGTAGACCCGTACCCATAAAGAAGTTCGACATCCAGAGTCCCTCTTCTCCAGATCTGATGTAGTCATTGACATCCTTATCGGCCTTGAGCATACCGAAGCTGTTCCCCAGGCCGACCGTGCTGATCACATCCAGGGTTAAGTATTGGACTTTCTTCGCCAGGTCCATCGGCTTTAGACTGTCTTCCGTGGAGAGATATCGGCTGCGAATGAGATCTAGAAAATCCAGCACTCGCAGGTCGATATCCGCTTCTAGCGACAGATTCTCTTTTCCGGAATACTAAGAAAGAATCAGCTGATGGAACGAGCCAGCGCCTCAAGGAATACCGACTCCCATTAACATTTGCTTCCGCCTCTGGTCATGTCTCTCGTTATTCGTCTCACTGAAGACGTGATCTTCGCCTGGCTTGAATCGAGCCGCATGGTAATACCAGTCCGACCTTTTATATGGCGACCGGACCGCGTTAATATGAGCCCATAACTCTGGCGATGAGGTGATGAGTGCATTTGGGCCGATGCGCACGACGGAGCCTACAGAATCCTATCAGACCGAGACGCTGCCCGAAGCGATCATCAAATCACCCACCGTACTTGTCGGTCATCTCTTTATACCATCTTTCGCACTGCAAGCTGAGCACCGCCTTGGTGTGCAGAAAACTGGAGAAACCGCAGCTAAGTGGGCCCTTGAACTTTCGGAGACGATAGTACGTTTGAAACTTTTTCACGAAGTAGAGGACGAGAAGACCGCCGACGATCAACCAGCGGGTTTCTAGGGACAGCTCGACTAAGCCCATCTTCAACCAGAAAGTCGAATGGATTGAATTGACCTGGATACTGGGAAGAAGAAAGGTGTCTTGGATTCATAAATGGGGGAGCAATGCTCGGAATATTCCTTCATATAATGGCTCTAGTGAAGGTTCAGGTGGGGAAACCCCCCCCGCTTATACGAACTGATCAACCACCATGAACAACATTATTAATTCCTCAACACTCACCCACGGGGAAGGATTTCGGACCGTTTATAGTCGATCAACTACATGTTGGGCCGACGAAAGAAACTTTCTTCAGCACGATTATCCCCACTTCCCGCGTCATGATGATCCGTTAACTTCATCCACGTGAAGTCGATTGGCCTCGTCTTTTATGGCAGTTGTCGTTGGGCATACATGCAGCGATCTACCTTTACTTTCTTAAACTTTTACACCAGTTGCTTATCTCTGATAAGTCCTCTCCCGTATGAGGCCAAACTCGGCCCTATCTCTGTCACTTAATATTGGTAAAAAATGGCGGAATGGTCGAGTTGCCACCGTGATTGTAAGGATATCATCGTGAAAAAAAAAAAAAAAAAAAAAAGGAAAAAAAAGGACAGGTGTGTATGATCAAGTCATAATGTTAAAAACATTGTAACTGGCTTCCAACTCCCCTTGACCGGTGATTGTTCTGGAGGGAAAAGCTATACTTAATAGTCATACACATACAGAGTTACATGTACACATGCATCAATGGGGACCTAAACATATCTTGGTGAACGTCGCCCACCGGAACTAAACCTTCCCATTATTTACATCTTGTTTTTGCCACCTCTGGAAGCAATGCTCACCTCGCTTAGATGGTTCAAATTCCTCCCGTTTCTGATACAAGCCCATGCAGGTCTTGCATCTCACGATCCCAGAGGGCCTTCCGTCATGATTAGCTGGCTGGAGATGACGCCGGAATATCAGAAACAGAGTTCTTACCCAGTCAAACATCTCTAAAGTAAAGTCACCGTTCAGCATTTCATGTATCCGCGTGGGAGTAGATTTTGCAACATTGTCTACATTGTCTGCTGAAATGGGTTGCTGTTCTCCATCGCCTGGAATAGTGGGCGGAGTATCAACACCACCCGCGCCTAGAAGACGTAGCATCGTGGCGACTATATCGGCAGCTTTCATCGTCTCCAGCGATGGTCGCAGGGAGAACTTCCAGGACGTGTGAGACGTCTTCAGTAACTGGATAAGCTCACCCCGCACGATACCATGGTGATATTGGCTACGCTGTGACTGATTGATGACCTCTAGACATATCACCATGGCGGCAGTCATGCAGTCAGATATTGAACGTGAGGCACCAAACCACACCCGATGCCGATTGCGGGGCTTTCCCAGGATACCTTGGAAAAGTTCGGACTGAAATGCTAGGATCTGTCGAGCCGCATCGACACATGCCCACCGGAAGGCTTGGTGTTGGTCTTCCGACCGTGGAGTTACTAGATAATGTCGATGCAAAACACACCGCGCGTGTTGGTATATCATTTCCAAGCCATATTTTTGGATAACAGTTGCATCATCAGAAACGATCGTTTCTGGTGGCGGCATGCGAAAAGCCTGAGGTAACTGATCTCGGATTCTTTCCAATTGCTGGTTCAGTTCGAGCGTTCTCCTGGGCTCCAAGGCGAATCCTGAGGCTGTGTTCGTAACTTCACCCGCGACAGCTAACATTTGCTCCATTGCTAACATGTATGTGATATTGCTGTCGATCTGATCTTCAGGACGAGAAGGTGGAAGGGTGCGGGTGTGAGGACCGAAATCTTCGTCAAGGAGATTGCGCGGGCGAGTGATATCACCTATCCCGGGGTAGATTACCCGAGGAAGCCCCGTCTGCCTAGAGACGATGGAGTCAGTGACCAGCAATACAAGCCATGCTCTACGGCGCATCTCGGCCTCAAAGCTCGAGATCTGGGGTTGGTATGGCCGCGGGTCGCGGTGGTATCCCATTGTGATTGCCAGACGCGAGACAATCCCGACTAGCATTGAGATTCCTGACTTGAGGGTATTGCTCTGCAAATACTCGATACCGAGGTACATAATGGCAGCCTCGACTTTATACTGCCCAGGGACCACGAAGTTTGACTTGGCTAAGGCGACCGCACAATTCATTCGATATTTTTGGAAGATCCCCGGCAATCCGCATTCGCTTACTGCCGGGTTCATGATGTGCTCGATGTAAACTGCACAGGACAATACACCATACAATAATGCAAGCCAGGAAGGAGAGACCCCGGAAGGGTTCTCCCAGAACTCGAGGTACTATTTGAGGGTTTCGCATGAGTACCTTGTTCATACATCAAGCATAAACATACTGGGGCACTCTACCTCTTGTTTAAATGTCGGAACATGAATGCTGACTAGAACAAAACCTGTTAGATAGCTAACTAGTGCACGTTCGATATAAGACGGATAAACAAGCATTGGTACGGGGCGGCCATACTGAGTGATGGTTCTTTGGAATCTAAGCAGCGGAGAACCAATGAATCCGCCGTTTGGCGGGGTGGTAATGCAGCGAGAAGATCCGCAACGCTCATTACCTGTGGGATTGCCAATAGCAAGACAGGGCATTCTGTGCTGGAGCGTACCGCCGCTGTCTCTTGGTCGTCGTTAGTATCATAACCATCTTTCTTCAGCTCTCGAGCCTGTGAAACATGTCAGTGCCCATCAGAGCAGTTGAGGAACCGAGCCTCAACAGAATACAGGTACTACATACTGCATTGTTCATGATCGCTTGCCAGTGACTTGGATTGATGAATCTAGTCCCATTGTTTTCATATAGTAGGAGCCCAGCTACAGGATCTGGGCCTCGGCCAGCTTCAGACTCTGTCTGCATTTCCGGATCCCGAGGATAGATATCGTGTTGTTGGCGAGCATGAATGCGGCCGTCTTCTGGTGTGGATGAAGAACGGTCATCTAGTGAACGCCTTCTTTCCAAATTTAATAATCTTTGCTCGAGATACTGCAGGCGATGGTCTATGCTAGACCTTTCCTGTGGACTGCTATGCTTCGGTCGCTCTGCAACATAGCGGCAGCCCGCATTCTGGCCCCGTTTCAGACAGTTTGCACAGGGAAGCTCCCGATTGCATTTTAGCCTGCAAAGCCGTTAATGGTAAGCGATCTAAGAATCTCGAAGACATACTTCTTCTCTCTACATCTGGTACAGGATAGTAAAACCCGAGGTTTTTGGTCTCTTCGCTTACGATCAAACCTTGGACGAGACGTTTGCATTGAAGCGGTATGGAATGGGGACTGAATGAACAATTGTTAGAAAAAATACACCCAAGTAATACCCCGAGAAGAGGGCGAAACCAGTGGCAAATCAGTGCCGGATTTCTGGTATTTACGAAACTCGACTTTCTCGGCTTTCTCGGCTTTCTCGCTTCTCCTGGACCCACCGGGACCGCGATCGACAGTTTAACCTGGTCCAATATCCTCCTATTTTCTCTACGCGAGTGCACCTACTGGTTTCATTTCCGACTAAATGATCCATTTTCAGTGGAGCAGCATCAAAGCCGAGAGTCTTGTCCCGGCTTTTCAGCATGCCTACTGATGTTAGCCTGTCAATAGTCATCATATATAAACCATGTTGCGGCTGGCGCCTGAAGACCGACAACCTCCAACGGTTTTCGAGTTTTCCGTAGATTAATCAATCTTTGGCATAGCTCCAAGATTCATTTGAACGGTAGAGAGCTATCGAAGCAATGGAGCCATCGAGACCGAACTTTCGTGTGGTAATTGTGGGCGGATCAATCGCGGGTCTAACCCTTGCTCACTGTCTTCTTCGAAACAACATCGATTTTGTTGTGCTGGAGTGCCATGCCGATATCGCGCCGCAGGTAGGTGCATCTATTGGCATTCTTCCCAACGGAGCACGTATTCTCGATCAACTCGGCATGTATGACGATGTCCTCGACGTGGTTGAGCCCCTTCGCAGAGCATTCACGTGGACTGATGCTGGACGCTGTATCACGAATACGGAGGCTCCTCTCATCTTACATCAGAGGTAGGATTACTCTTACCCCAAGGTCTGTGATTTGAATGGCACTAACCTGCCATAGACATGGCTACCCCACTGCATTCCTGGATCGGCAGATCTTGCTTGCTATTTTGTATGAGCACCTTAAGGATCGGCGAGATCGGGTCTTGGTGAACAAAAAGGTGACCAAGGTGGAGCATCTCCCCGAGAAGGTCATGGTTCACTGTGCGGACGACTCCATTTTCGAGGGCGATGTGGTTGTCGGAGCTGACGGGGTACGTAGTACTGTGAGGGAGCAAATGTGGCATTACATGGAATCTCGAGGACTCAGGGAGGAGGCCCGGAAGGAAAGGACCTGTACGTTTTAATCTAGAGCGACCTGCACTCGCACACGGCTTGGCTAACTCAGTAGGGGCAGTGATGACATCTGAATACAACTGCGTATTCGGCATCTCCACGGCCACCCCGGGACTAACACCAGGCGATATCCATCGCACGTTCGCCGAGGGGTACTCGCTCCTCACAATCATCGGTAAAGAAGGTCGTGTATTTTGGTTTTTCTTCACGAGGATGGGTCAAAAGTATCCTGCATCTCAGATGCCCCGGTACAGTCAAAACGACATTGATAACCACGTGGCTCCATATTTACACAAAGCCATCACCCGAGAGGTGGCATTTGCCGAAATTTACCAGAGAGCAATAGTGCGGACCTTTGTCCCGTTAGAGGAGGCCCTATACCAACATTGGTCCGTCGACCGATACGTTTGCATTGGTGACTCTGCCCACAAGGTGCGTATATATCTTGCGTATAACGAAATGCTTGGCCCATTTCATCTCTAATTCTTTGTTTTACAGATGACGCCCAATCTTGGACAGGGCGGGAACAGCGCAATTGAGAGCGCTGCATCGCTTGCAAACAGTCTCTCTGCACTAGCCCATGGTTCTCCTAAAGCAATGATTGGCGTCAATGATATTCATCATTGCCTGCAACAATGGCAGAAGCCGCGCCAAAAGCGCGTGGATGACATCTGGCTCTCAGCTCATGAGTTGACCCGAATAGAGGCTCTGGCAGGTATTAAGGAGAAACTTATTGGGTTATATCTCCTCCCATATCTCACCAGTTATCTGCTTGACAAGACGTCTGCCGGGATTGTTGCAGCTGCGAAGCTTGACTGTGAGCCTCTGCCGCCGAAATCGCTCCAATGCTCCATGCCGTACAAATCTTCGGACAGCCACGCCGTAAATGAGGATCAAGGATGGAGCCGCGCGCTTGCCACTGCTCCCCTTCTCGGTTGTTACACTGCTGCTCAGGCTACAATGGGAACTTTGCTCACCCACCTCAAGCCCCTTATGCTGCCATTATTTGCCCAGGGAGCCTGGACTGCAAGTAATGGAGAGGTTCTCAGCTTGCACAGGCCTATCTACCATATCCCGCTCCTCGACAACTTGTTCAGGCCCCTCATCACATGTTTTTTACCATCTATTAGTGGGTCTGATCCGCATTCCCGGGTTCAAATGCTGTCCTTCATGACCGACTTGGGCCCGCTCTATGGGATCTGGTTACTGGAGAGTTACCGTCAAGGCCACTCCTGGCGCGAGGTCTTGCTGTGAGTAGATTTTATCCTACCTCTATCGCCTTTTCAGAGACCACCAGTGACTAACACAAAGGCTCACAACAGCCCCGTAACTATTGGGATTGGCTTTCAGCTAAAGGGAATTGGAAAATTTGCTCCTATCTACTACGCGCTGGAACACATCCGCACACCCCTTTCTAAACTGCTTCCGGGATCTAAGCACCAGGTGCAATCGGAAGCCTCGAGCTCCCTTCTCATCGCCATGGTCGCGGGGTACTATGCTCCCACATTTGCCAATTTCCTGGCCCCGACAGTGGAGTCCCGTCGCTGGTACAACGCAGTTTGGCAGCTGTTTCCCGTAATCGTTCCTCTGCTACAAGGGTCTTTGCGCCTTCTCGTAAAGGATCGCCCACAGCAAGAAGAACCGCAACAGCAAGCCCGCAAGAATATGCGGTTTGTCCGCTATGCATACCGCACATTTGCCCTCGTCTCTGGTCTCACGTTCGTTCATGCTCGATTCTCGGTCCCGGCAGGTGCCTCTTTTGCTAGTATCTTCCTGCCTGGTCTCCGGGGTCATCTGGAGCCTGTTACCTCATTCGCCGGGGGAATAGCACGATTCCTCCAGTACGACGAAGTGATCTCCATGGCTAGTGGTTTTGTGTGGCTTGCGCTGAAATTTCGCGAGCTGAAGCAGCTCGGAGCCTCGGTTTCCTGGTGCAAAGCTATCTGTGGCCTGGTGGGGACGACCTGTGCCTTTGGTCCAGGGGCTGCATTTGCGCTTGGCTGGGGCTGGAGAGAGGAGATCCTGGACCGGATGGCCTAAGAGAATCGCAGTTCGTAGCGTTCTGGATTCGTGGGGAATCGTGTGCCTTGTAAGATACGATCATATAACTAGTGATAAACCGTGTTCAATAATAATAGAACTGCAGTTTAATCTAGGCAGGTTTAGATCAAGGGATCATCTGAATAGGATCTCGTCAGGGTCTACCCTTCGATTAATTACGTATTTTTTACGAAGAGTCGTCTCCGAGGTATTTGATAGCTCTTTTGTACCGGGAAGGTGTCAGGGCCCACCTCTGCACATAGGTAGATCGATGCGGGCATTGTGTATGGAGGCAAATAATGCTTTGTAACTAGCAATCTGTTACATACGATCATAGGGTGTGAGCCGCCTACATAACCAGCAGTCAGGCTAGTATTTTTCTAGGCCTCTTTCCAGTAATCTCCATAGCAAAGTTCCTAAGTATCTCATACAAAGGATATCAACCGCATTCAGTAAGCCTCTCTATATAGCGAATAAGGGTTTTCGATTACTGGTGGTTAAGTACTCGCTGGTTTTTGTACTGGCTATCTTTTGCACACGTGACACTGCGGTAGCGCCTTGACCGGTTAATCCCATATTTCAGTGAACATAATGGTTTTTGTGCACCAGGTGGGGATGTGCATTAGGTGATCAATTCCGGTATGTCAAGAACCCACCCTCCCTGGTACGGTAGTGACCGAATTCCGCGGGCCCGGTTCGGCTGGTCAAGCTCAAGTGCCACAAAGAGGCCATAATAACTAATACTGCTTGAATGGGAACCCTTTCCTATAGTTCTACTTTGTTTTCATGTTGATGATCACCCATCGCACCATCCGCGATAGTTATTAGCCGGTGTAGAAGAAAATACGGCATAGCAGCGCTATGAGAGAGAAGCCCCTTACATGTTTATTCCAGTAAGTCAAATTCGTCAATGTATGGTTTCGATATATTGCTAACACGCCACAATATGTTATCTAGTGGCGTGTCCACTGTCAGGAAACGGGTCTCGGGATTCCATCCACACGCTTTATCCCCGAAAGCTACAACATACTTTTCACATGTGTCTATGGCCTATTTTGGTACAAAATGTTTTGAGGATAGCATTGTGTACTGGTTTGTTATTAGCCACTGAGAATTGCCCTGCTCATCAAAGCGTTGTTGAAAACCACATCCTCCTATAAAGCTAGCGACTATACCATAACTAAACCGCCATTCGCACATACAGTGCTTCCAGTTACCCATCTTGACTGCTCCTCACATAAGAACGCTACAATCGGTGCAATGTCATTTGTCTCACCAATGCGAGAGCCCGCAGCCGTTTCCATCGTAATCCTCTGTGTTACAGCGTCCAACTCGGGCCCCTCCGTATTATTCCACCTATTCAGGCATGTGTCAGTGGAATTCGGTGCACTGGATAAGACAAAGCTTACATGTCGGTATTTACCGGACCGGGATTAACAGCATTGACCGTGCAGTCGAGCTCTCGACCTGAGATTCGTTAGAACTATATATCGGCCAGTGTGAATACTTGGAATTACCGAGCTCTTTTGCCAGTGACCTTGTGATACTTTCAAGGGCTGCTTTAGATGCGGCGTATGTAATTGCTGAAGGAAAGCCTTGCCCATCATTTTTAGCGGTCAATGTAGCACAACGTCCGTTTTGGCTTATACACTTACTCCGCCGTGCCGATGTAGAGCTGATGTTAACAATTCTTGCCTTCTTTCTCAGTTGCGACCGAGCCTGCTGGAGGAGAAGCATGGGAAATAGCACATTGGTATGGAAGATACGGTCAAAATTGTCCACGGCCAGATCTGTCAGATTTACATCCGAACCATCCGCTGCATTATTGACTATTATGTCAATGCCCTCGGGAAATCGCTTCCTGCACTCAGCAACAATACGCAGGGCCGCTTCCATGGCCTTAGAACTGTCTGCTTGAATTGCATACCCACTAACATCGGAGCCTTGGCTGTTGATTTCACCGGCTATGCTTTCCGCCGCTTTGGCGGATGACACATAGGTGATCATAACTGACGCCCCTCGTCGAGCGAGCTCAATGGCGATAGCGGCACCGATACCTGGTACATGAATTTAGCATTAAACCCTCATTGTCATCAAGGTTGATCAGAAGGGCTCGAGCGACGTTCCGCCATCTACCTACCTCGTGAGCCACCCGTGACCACAGCATTCTTTCCGATCAGAGAGTTCGCCATGGCTCAAAAGCTTGAATTCAATTAAGCAGGTCTGTATCTGCATCGATTTCGATTACTCCTTGACCGCCTAGGTGTTAAAATATGTCCTTGGCCATTGAGTTAGCCTGGACTTACATTGTCTCTTAAGGACTGCCGAGTGCCGAGCACCGAAGTGTGGGGGTGAGGCGCCCAAAGCTGGGGATGAAATGGTCAAGTGACACCGAGTAATCCACAGATTTGTACTTAGTTGCCGAATAGTTGCGTTAATGTCCTAGCCAAATGTTTACGGTATGAAGTCGTGCACCCTTGGCGGTATCCCGCAAATGCCGCGGTTGCAACCTGAACATTGCTCCTGACCCCAGTTGATACGTTCTGTAATGCCAAATCTACGAGAGTGGTTCGATGTAAGTGCAAGTGTAGCATTAGGGCAAAAAACACCGGCGACCCGAATCAACTTGAACTAGTGGATTGGAGCTGCGTTGGTGTGGACATCTGAATAGACTGCTATCTTGCTAGACGGGACTGTATGCAATTTACAACTGACTGTTCTGCCAATGGGTACGGCCTCCCCTTTGTCCTATCTCCACAGCATAACATCCTTCTTTTTTAACCACAAGTCTTCCTTGAAAAGACGCATAGCCAGTAAGCCCCGGCTAAAATAAGCACACCGGCGAACACAGCCGATGTCCAGTTCATGGCCTCAGGAGTGACAGGCAGATACAAAGGTAAACATAGAATCACAGAAATCAACATTACCCACAACAGCGAGATCAAGACGATGAAATCGCCCCATCGCCCCAGATTAAACCATCGTTCCGGGTCTAGCGACTTGCGTCCTCGATACAGCAACAGTCCAAAAACCATGGCAAAGGTGGACAGAATGCACAAATTTGCGGCTCCGAGAAGTGCATTCATCGCGGTTGTAGATCCAATACTTATAGCACCAATTGCACAAATTAGTGCGGTGTTCCAACAGAGAGCGTTGACAGGCAACGCGTCGCGCGAGGAGAGCTTGGACATGGTAGTCGAGAACGGCAATGCCCCTTGAGCGGAGAAGGACCAGTAGAGGCGGGACCAGCTAATCAGCGCCGACGTTCCTGCGATAAAGAAGCAGAATATAATCATACTTGTTCCAAACGCAGTCATGGCGAAGCTGCGAAAAGCACTCAGCATAAGCTGGATGATTGGTTGATTGCCAGGAGCCGTGAGCAGACTCCCTGGTTCGACGTTGCAGAATTGGTATACGATTATCATGGGAAGCGCGGTGAAGTAACTCATGACAAAAGATCCCAGAATAACTTGCGGGACTTGTTTTCTCGGGTTTTCTAGCTCGTCCGTTAAATGCGTGGCATTGTCGAAGCCGCTGAGGCAACCCACAGCGGGTAGTAGGGCAAGGAAGAAGACAACGCCGTTGGAGGACCAACCCGACTCGTTGACAAAGTCGACAAAGACAAACTGTGCTGATTGTTTGTGCCCAGTTCGTACCAAGAGAGATACCAACAGATAAATCGCCGTTCCATTGACAGCAAATACCACGATCCGCAACAACAAGTTGACCGAACGGAATATGCGGGGAAGATTGAAAAACAGATATAGCAGCGCAAAGCATACGTAGAGAAGATATGTTTGCCACGACTTTGCGGTAAAGTCTGGGAACGCGGCTTCAATGAGACCCATTGTAATCTGCGCGGGATACAGGGTACTGGCGGCAGATACAAAGAACCAGCCGGCATTTGTCAACCATCCCATAATGTAGCCCAGGCCGCGGGAGTATTCGGGGCTTGCGAGAGCGATGGCCCAGTATGCTGGGCCTTTTTGTTGGGGGGGGATACTTTGGTTAGTCCTGCAATATCTGATGCGCTGTGCGTATAGGGGCTTGCTCAACTCACCAGACGAATGTGGAATCGCAGAGGCAAGCTCTGCAGTAGCCAGGCAAACGAACAATTGGAAGAACCCGACCATGAAGAACCCCCAGAAGTATGCTGGTGAGCCTCCAAGGCCAATAGCCAGCGACAGATATGCGCCAATAGCAATCGGGGCACTGGTGACCGAGTACTGGACTCCAATGGCGCCCAGCAGACTGAAGTGGACTTTCGGTTTGATGCCGATTTCTCCTTCTGCTGCTGCCTTTTCTTCAACATTCGTATCATGGGATACAGTTATCTTCATATCGCTTGCCTCGTCAATTGGCGTCATTGTTGTGGGAGTATAATGTTGCTAAATTGTTGATTTACTGAGGAAAAGAACCAGCCAGAGGAGATAAGAACTCGATGAGACATCCTTGGGGCTTTAATAGAGCCACTGTCAGGCTTATCGGACGGTATAGTGGGCATTGGAAATGGCACCGTCGCGTGAGAGGCGCCACAAACGTTAGCAGCGCTGCAACAGCCGAATGCCGACCCTTCGTGGGTGCCGTCCCTTGCTGGCAGTTGTAATAAATGGGTGAACGCCACCCCCGCAAACTACTCGCTGCAAAATCGGAACTATGCGGGGGATCTCCACCGGGATTGAAACTTACAATCTGATATAAAAATGAGTGTCAAAACAATACTTTTGTCTAGACCAGCATACTCCACATAACACCCCTCCCCCCCAAGCACCCGTGGTTGGTTAGCTGAAAAGCACTAAAGTACTGTTTTGACATTTCTTTCGGTATTGTATCGTATCGTTTCCAGTTTCGCTAGTAGATTCAGGAATATCTCCCATGTCTCGTGTGTAAACGGTACGAGGATGATAGGGTTTGTACACACCCTCATGGCCTTACAATGTTGTGCGATTATTCATGTCTTGCGAAATGGAGTTGGAAAGGCGAACGGGAATCTATATGCATCGAAGCAAGCGAGCTATTGTGGCATCTATCCAACTACCTACAGTTTGTTCTGAGGCTTTCCAAGCAGCTCAATCACTTCATCCGCAGCCCGACTGCCCGCACGAAGAGCTCCCTCCAAGTAACCCTTCCACTCTCGAGCAGTTTCACCGCCAGCAAAATGAACATTTTTAAACGGCGCCCTCAAATCTTCGCCATACCTGGAAAGGTACCCTGGAGGCATCGCGGACGTCGGTGCACCGCCCATCCACTCTTCCTCCACCCACTCACCAGCGTTATACTCGAGCACGTCTAATGCCAGATGGCGATGCTCTGGGCCGATCAGCTCAGCCAAGTGCTCAATGACGGCCTGTTGACGCTTCAGCGGCGACAGTTTATACCATTGAGCAGCTCTGTCGCCTGCGATAAACAGTGCCAGCGTAAACGCCTTGTCTTCAAAGTTAGAGACTTCCCAGGAGAAACAAATTGGGCCAATCTGGCTACGGAACTTGCCCATAAGCCCGATAGCCCGCCACCAAGGACTGGTATAAGTGAGCAAGACTTTAGCATAGACACCTGGTAGAGTCTCGCTAGCAAGGGAGCGCTTGGAGCTTGGCAGAGGAGGTGTAAAATGAATTTTGCCGTACGTATTTGTAGGCACAGCAACAATTACTTTCTTTGCCGAGAATTTGAAACCAGTTGCTGTAGTGACAATGACCTCTTTGCCATGCTGATTGATCTCATCAACCGGGCAGTTGACAATTACTGAGCCAGGCCTCATCTCAGCTGCAAGGCCGTGTGCAATGGCCGACGTCCCTTGATCTTTTGTTAATTTCTCATTCATGTCTTGAGAATGCACAAGTCATCAACTTACCTTCACGGATAAACATTTGTTGAGCCCCCTTGTCGTCATCGCTAGCGAGGCTAGTGAAGCCTCCCCCGGACTTGATATAATCCAGCAAATAGTGGATGCCAATCTCATGTGGCTCTCTGCCCACCATCGCTGTCGTGATACTTCGTATAACCTGAAGAGAGAAATCACCCAGCTTCTTGTTCTTCACCCACTCAAGCGCAGACACATCGTCTTTGCCGGGGAAGCTGCGTGTTTTATTAATATCAAGCAATGCATTGTTCTCAATCTCGTACTCGATTGCTTCAATCAATGCTTGCATAGATTTTCCGTCTTCGCTAGAGAGCTTTCGGAGGCGTCAGCGCAGATTCATCACTCAAAATGTCTCCAATAACATACCCCTGGGCTGTTGCCCGCTTGATCCTGACTTCCGAACCGATAGACTTTGCGATCAAGTGTTTGTAACACTCCGTCTCCTTCCAAATATTGGTGTACCGGGTGAAGACCCAACCGTTTGACTGTGGCATAGATCTTGGGTTGCGTGTACTGATTGATCCAGGTTGCGCCAAGTTCCACGACACCCGGTCCACTAGCTAGTCGCATTGTCTTGCTCCGTCCGCCAACTCGATGAGTTGCCTCAAGCAGCGCGACATTGAGGCCGGCGCGGGATAAGTCATGGGCGGCTTGCGTGCCACTAAATCCTGCCCCAACAACAACAGCATCCACATAGATCAAGTTACTTGGCTGTACAGTCTGTCGAAGCTCTGAGTTGAACAGTTTAGAGCGCCCACCAATCGCGGCGATTGCCTCTACCTCAAATTTCGCTTCGGCCTGTGCCAGCTTTGGCACGGGAATCACAGTTGTAGGTGGTCTGTAATTGTCGGTGCACTCCGCGAAAAGCTTCATCCATGGTTCCACCAAGCTCTCTGTAGCCTCAGTCCATGGCCAGTCCACCACATAGAATGTGAGTTTGACAACATCCTGGGGGCTGGCACTGCTGGCCTTCAATGCATCTCTCAAGTTTGCAAAGGAATATTCGACTTGCTGCTTTATGGTGGAGCCAAACTCTCCGTTTCTCATGCCCCATTGGCCAGCTAGGAAGATCAGTCGGTCTGAGCCTTCGCTGGCAGAGGCCTGAGTGTAAAGTTTAGGATCTGGCTGCTCAGGGATATTATAAAGTTCGGTGGAAGGGCGTGGATGTCTTGGCGCCATGATAGCTCTTTGAGGATAATAGCAGCGGCTAGCACACAGTTCGTCAAAGAAAAAACGGACAGCAGTTAGTTAATAATCAACATTGGAGTGTGTGGCTCTCAGATGTAAGCGAAAATACATTCAACTGGACCCTTTATAACTATTGAATAGCAAGACAGTCTGAGATCATCGGTACCCTGCGGCACCTGTGTTAGCCGTGTACCGAGTGCCGAAGAAGTACACAACTGCCGTAGCCAGTGAGTAGTTTATTATGGGTATAACATCATTTTAAAGCTAACTTTTTATTCAGCCGTATATATGTCTCTGAAAGATTGTTCGTATAATCCGGTCTACAGCTTCAAGTTGGCCCAACAAGTCTAGTAGCTTCACCTGGCTTGTCAGCAAAACTCATATACTTGTTCGCTACAACATCTTCTATCAAATATATTAAATTACCACAACGAAATTGGTCCTAAAATGTCTCCACCAAGCATACCGCACGTTCCTGCCAGCGACGGTAGTCTACCTATCCTCGCCGCGCTAAAAGAAGCTGGCGGCGTTATCATCGAGGGGCTGCTGACCCCGGATCAAGTCAAGGATATGAACAAAGATCTTGACGAGCCGCTTCATAACTTGGACCCTGGCTCCAAGCACAACTCTGAAAGAATCAAGAGCTTTCATGGAGTGAACACCAAGCGCCTGACAGGTCTTACGACTTGCAGCAAGACATTTCGGGATTATCTCCTTGACCATGATCTCTGTCACCACATTGCAGAGCGCATTTTTCATCCTCAAACGGGCACATACTGGCTTACGACCGCCCAGGTTATCGAAATCGGGCCAGGGAATAAGGAACAAGTCCTACACCGGGACCAGAATCAGTTCCAGGTTTTTAACCAACTGGGACCTAATGGACCGGAAGCAACCATCAACTTCCTGGTCGCCTTGACTGATTTTACAGAGGAAAACGGCGCGACCCGCGTCATCCCCGGCTCGCACAAGTGGCCAGATTTTTCCATCCCGGGTGATCCCAATGACACCATCCCTGCAGAGATGAAGGCTGGAGACGCTTGCCTAATTTTGGGCAAAACGATCCACGGTGGTGGCGCCAACAAGACAGCTTCAGAGTATCGCAGGGCTGTTTCATTTCCCCTGCAAGCTTCGTTCCTCACGCCTGAAGAGGCTTACGTTCATATTACCCCAAAAGAAATTGTCAAAGGGTTGTCGCTACGCGCTCAGCGCATGATTGGATTTCGTTCCCAATTCCCTAAAGGAAGTCCCGGCCTGTGGCAGGCCAACTACTCGGAAATCGGCGACCAGATTGGCCTCCCTGGTGTAGAGGATGTTGTCGAGCGGATGAAGGCAGGAGAAGACCAGTTTCAGGATATTAGAGATCTTTGAGGGTGACACCTCGCTCTGTTTTCTACTCCACTTATTGATATAGAAGCCTTTCCGGCTTGACTGGGTTACACTGGTTATATTCAATCATTAAAGAGGCAATGCTACTTCTACAAACATATATTAAATACTAGTTCCTCTTTTTCTTTGAAAATAGTTCCTGGGGTGTAATAGGCGGAAATTCTCTGGTTGATGCAAAGGCCATCAGCTCCAGTCAAACAGGGCTCTTCCATGGATTAGTATGGCCGTAGATATGAGTTGCGGACGAAGTGAGGGATGCGAACGACAGTGACTGCAAGCACCTGCTATCCATTCGATGCCAACCCGGTCTCCAATAACGAGGCCGAGGTTGACAATTTTGCCAACACCTTCGTGGCGGCCGACTTGTCCCTTTGGAATTGGCAAAGGCAGACTACTCCACTATGCCATTTCTTAGTTGTGTCATGAAGAAGTTTCTGGATGACAACCCCATACACTCTTCAACTATAACTTGCCCAGTTCGTCGTAACGCCTAGACCAGAATGGCAAACACCGGCATGCGTTTTGTGATTCGAAATATAAAACTAATTTGGCAATTGGTTCAGTTGGGCAGATCTCCCGTAAAGTCGTATTAGAACCTCTCCCGGTCCGGGGTCAGGCATCGGGATATCGACCTTTTTTGTTGAGATGGTACCCGGGACATCATAAACCCAGGCTTTCTGAGTTTTCAGTAAATCCATGGCGTTCATAGAACTCGTTCCTGCTACTGCAGACCCTGTGCAGCTACGGGTGCGGCACTCGGCTCTCACTCTTTATCCACTGCCGAGAGCAGGGAAAGCAGGGAGAGCGGGGGAGACTCAGCTTCCCCACTGCTACACACTTGTGATAGACCTGGTGACGTAGACTCAGAGGCAGATTAAAGCCCCATTTGAATTAGATATTTAATTAGTTTTCGTCCTTTTGTGCCACTTCCCCGCCTCTACTACTTTTTCGGTGCCCTGCGGCCCCGGACCCGGTCAGCCGAACCCCAGGAGCGACGTGCCGAATGCCACCTTCTATACTAATAGGTATTACTCACCTACCGGGGCTACGGGGCCAAGAAGAAGTAGAGGGAAGACGAATATTGCAATCCATCGAGTTGGTACACTAGTGGAGAGCGACCCATCTATATTTATTTCCGACCATCCTGCCACCTTACAATTGCAAAGAGTCAAAGACTCTCATGTGGTATGAAGCTCTGTTATTGGCAGATACCGAATCAACCGCCATGGTTTTCTCTCTTGCTTCTACTTTTCTTGTTAGTGCAGCTATCCTGTATTTTGTCAGATGGGGCATACATCGAGCTGAATCACTGGTTTTTGGCCAAGGGACTCGGCTGCATACCTGTTTATGCGAGGCCTAGCAAGTTCCCCCTCGGTCTCGACAGCGTGATTGGTATGACCAGGGCAGCGAAGTACCAGGTCCTTCAGAATGATGGCCAAGTCGTATACCGAGAGATGAGCTGTCCCTCGACCTGGGTGTAGAACATGGGTATTTGGTACCACTCCACGGTCGACCCCGGAAACATCAAGGCTATACTTGCTACGCAATTTAATGGCTTCGAGATGGGTCTTTTCCGTGCCCACACCCTCGGTGCGCTGCTTGGCCGCGGGATCTTTACAAGCGACGGTAAGTAATGGTATACGCGATACATCAACGCAAACCAAGGTATTTTTCTTAACTTCCATCGTGTATTAGGCAACACCACCGTGCGCTTTTACGGCCACAGTTTACACGAAGTCAAATCTCCAACCTCGAGCTTGAAGAGGTACTTGTTCAGCATGTGTTAAATCGCTTCCAGCACGGTACCGACGGCTCTTGTATGATCCCGATCGACCTGGCCCCTCTCTTCTTTAACCTCACGCTTGGCTCTGCAACTGAGTTTCTGTTCGGGCAGAACGTTGAATCACAGTTAGTGGGTGGCCCCAACGCTACAAGGGTAACGGATGATGCTGGAAATAAGGCAAGGGAAGGCACAAATGGCAGATATTGGACATCCTTTGGACGCGCGTTTGATAGAGCCAACACCATCTCTCTCAAGACCGTGCTCATATATCTGCACTTCCTATATTCTCCCAAGTCCTTTGCCGGCGACTGCAAAACAGTGCACCAATTCGCGGGTTATTTTATTCAGCAAGCGCTAAGCGAAGAGCAAGAATCCTCAGGGAACCATGACTCTAAAGAGGAAGCTTTCGTCTTCCTTCGTGAGCTTGCCAAGACCACCAAGGATCCCATAGTGCTGCGCGGCCAGCTCCTGAATATCCTGCTTGCCGGGCGAGACACTACCGCTGGGCTGTTGGGCTGGACCTTTTTCTTGCGTGCCCGTCATCCTGGCTATTACTCCAAGCTCCACAAGATCATTATCGAGACTTTTGGCCCATACTCAGAGGACGTGTCATCCATTACCTTCGAATCCCTGAAGGCATGCAGCCATCTTCCAATACGTCCTCTCGGAGGCCCTTCGCCTACCTCCCGTGGTGCCTGAAAATGGCCGACGTGCCACCCGAAACACTAAGTTGCCTCGTGGAGGTGGCGTCGATGGCCATGACACCAGTCTATATTCGCAAAGGGAGTAGAGGTGGTTTATAATGTGAATATTATGCACCGGCGCAAGGATATTTGGGGCGATGACGCGAATGAGTTTCGGCCGCAGAGGTGGGTTGGTAGTAAGCACGGTTGGGAGTACCTACCTTTCAACGGTGGACCGAGAATTTGACTAGGGAAGCAGTTTGCATTACTACAGAGGTACAACAAGATTGGGAATCTGGATCCGGAGGCAGTGACCAAGCATCAGTATACCCTCACGACAGCTTCGGTCAAGGTACTTGTCAAATTCCACGAGGCAGCACACGCATGATCTTGGCATAACATGGTACATTGGTACATTTCGAATATATTGACATTTCAATTTTTCTGCCTTTCATCCATTCACAGTATGATTTACCTAAATGCTCCATGATAATATTTTCGATGCTATGAAACGAGCACTACACTCACTATATTGCTTACGTGGCCCCAAACGCATATAATAGTTATTATTGTTACATTCCATATATCAGCATATAGTCCGACTTAACAGTTATACAGAATTAATCGGTACCATTGCTTCCAACTCAAAGTCCATTTCGTCACCAAGGTAACCAGTGCTGAAGAAATCATCCATGAACCCAGGTGCACCGAGTGCATCAAATGCTGATATAGGAGCTTCAGAAATCCATTGCACAGTCATCTCGACTTCGTGGGTTTCATTGTCGAAGTGTGTCCGCGATATGGCATCCAAAATTGAATTTTGGTGCCCTGATTCCCGTCTGACTGCCCAGGCTTGCAGCTGCGGGAACAAAGCTGTAAGCTGGTGAGGGGGCGTGTTTTGAAGTACGATGCTGTCCCCGCTGAGAGCATTTCCATCCAGTCCGGCATCCTTCTGTGCCAAGATGTCTTCTCGCTCCCGTTGGAGGAGCTTTATCTTTTTGGCCACGGTCTTGGCGATGCCGAATCTGTGATTCAGCTGTTCGATAACCGAGCACAATACGCCGAGGCTTTCTTTGCGCTGCGCTTCCATTTCCTCATTGTCTGGCTTGTAGTAGAGTAGAGGTATTGCGGCTGTTAGACACCAGAAGGAATGCATTGTTATGAGTAGGCACACTTGCTCTCTGTATAAAATTTCCTCATAGAGTCCCGCGATGCAGTTGGCCGCTATCAAGCAGGCAGCTGAACACGCCCACTGCTTTGAAAACCGGCACGACATGGCCTGTGAAAGAATCACCGCTCCAAAATACTGTATATGAAGCTCTACAATAGGAAACTGATAGGCTGTCCTATGACCATTCTTGTCATATAGTTGCAGATCTGGATGCAAATCCGCCATCCAGTCGGTAAGGAGGTCGGCGATTGGTGTCTCCTCCTGCGTAGGAGAAATGTTGCGCGAGACTTTATGAGCCAGTTCCCCCATAATTCGCGCCAAAGATATATCTGCAATGAAATGCCTCGCTTGCATATCAACGACATCAAAGTCTTCCTCCGATAAGGGAAGAACGTCAAAGTCGTCTCGTTTTAGGGCAGGTAAACGGCCATAAATTAGCGCCAACACACAGTCGCTGGCCTAAAGGAGAAAGGTTAGTCTACTACTAGAGGGCTGTGACTTGATCCATGCGGCCTTACAAAAAGCAGCCACCATAGCCTTCTGCGACATGTGCGATCAGACTTGCCAGCGTAGGTCGAGTTTTTGTGCATGCCCATTTGGACAGCTAAGCGCACGGCGCTGCCAGTTGCATGCCACGGTCCATCTAGGCTTACTATGTGGGACGGATTTGGACTCCAGAGCGTCAAGAGACTGAGTGTTTTGAGAACCGTGAGCATATTTGGTTCGAAGTTGACACAAATCAGAATCTTGATCTTTTCGTATATCGCTTGCGCTCTGGGGAAACTGTCTGGCAGATTTGGCTGCCGCATCAGGCTTCCAGCCAGACAAACCGCCTGCTGCAGCAAGACAGACGAGCCCGGAGACTCGACGTCAGCTCTGCCGACTATTGGGAAACAGTAGCTGAGATTCGTGAAGAAGGCATCAAAAAGAGCTTGCCGTAATGCCGGCTTCGGTAGCGTATGAGCATGTGTCGCATTCAATATGCTGAGTCTGACGCTGGCTGTGAAGCCGCCAGCCACTGGGTTGGCTGGTAAACCTGGAGTAGGCGGACCCATTCGGTGGTCATAGTCGCCGTCCTGGAGAACCGAGTGTCCCCCAATGTATGCCGGGTTGTCGGTATTGCCAGCGAAAATATCAGGGGTCCCCTCTGAGAATGCATACGAAATATCCGCCCGCAAGTCAGTACTAGATGAGTCGGTCAAGGACGGCTTTCGAGGCCGCCGTTGAGTTGTGGTGCTACGCTTTCTTACACCTTCGCGGCGTCTATTTCGACTCAGTATTTCTGTTTTTCTTCGACGCCCAGGGCAATGACTAGGGTAATACGGACATGCAGGTTATGCTATGTCTGCGGCAATAGGCACATGTATTATCCGCGCTTTCTTCCAAGTCGCATTTGATCTGTACCAGTGAGCGTGCGTGTGGATGTAGCAGTAGCGGCTAATATGGCTGCGACATACCTTGCGCCCATGGCATTGAACGCATACAAGGCGTGCGCGATTCTTCATCACTGTACTCATTTCTATTTCAGGGGCTACTACGGGATGACTTGTGAAAGAGATGCAGAATTTGGCACTAGTTGGTTGTATTTGATGAGCATGGTATGCTGCGTCACTATCGTTGCGGGGAAGTACGAGTCAACCACGTGATGCAACACTCAACATAGGTAGTGCAACAAACTAGCCTGTATGAGTAAATGAAACCCTACCCTATAATCCCAACGTACTCCCCCAAAAAAGATTTTATACATTACCATGCACGTAGAAGATATATGCAGAATCTACTTATTGCAGTTTTATCCCTGAAATATATATGACTGGGTGGCTTTGTTGTTCGCCCGGATCGCAATGACTGTGAAATTGGCACCCATGGTTCCCGGTGACTTTGCCGAACGACGTGACGAGAGTTCGCGTCAAAACTATGAGAAATTAGATCCATAGTTGGTGATGATTTACAAATGCTGTTTTGATACGGTGTCGACGGGTTGCTGCATTTTGGAGTGGCAATTGATGCCCACCAGCTCATCTAGTTCCCCTTGCACCCGCCTTAAGTGCAGCGGATAGTTGCAGCTTGGCCTGATGAATAAATAGCCTTTCGTTCGGCCGTACTACCAAACCTTCTTCTTTCTGTCTGGATGCCTCTTCCAGCTTCTGGACTCGTTTCATCTCCCGCACACTCTCTCGCTCTGCCTTCTTCTGGGCGCGCTGCTCTTGCAATGCCTGACGCGCTGCAGCTCGCTGTTCTTTCCTATCAGTCAATTCCCGAGCCTTTTCTTCGCGTACGATGGTAGATTGCAGCTGACGATCTTCAATCGCTTGCTCATGCTGCTCCACCGCCTGTTCCTTATCTGCCAGGCGCTGCTGAGCAAGTTCAGCTTTGGCTGGACTAAAAAAAAAAAAAGAAAAGAAAAAGAAAAAGAAAACAGGCTGTCCACCATTTTCTTCCGGGTTAAAGAGCCCCATGGCTTTTCTTGCTTTCCGTTTCCTCTTTTGCAGGTTAATTGTTTCCGGGAGGGCTTTATTTTCATGTTTGAAGATCTTATTTTCTGTTGCCACCCTCTCCGACACACGGGACATTGCTGCTACTTTAGCATTAATCCTTCCTTAAGCATCCGCCATACCATGTGCCCAATTGCCTGAAAGTCAGCTGGAGTCTGTACAGATCCGTCTTCTGATGCAGTTTGTGGTGATGTAGTGTTGTCATGGTGGCCAACCTTTGACAATAGTTTGTTAAGATCAAGAGAGTGGATCCCTGTGGTGCGCCACGCTGCTTCAATATTTAGAGTATAAAATGCCGTCTCCCACGCTTGCTGAAAAAAGCTTCCAGAAGTTTCATTTTGTGAGATGATAAGTGCCTTGAATGGTAGTCATTAATCGATCAATTCCTTAGGTGTAATAGGTTGATAAGGCCGAAAATAGCCCAACATCCAGCAGCTGGAGCCGGTAAGTTAAGTGCGACAGGAACACAGCAATAAGAATCTGATTTCGATCAGCATAATCAATAAATCTAAGGTTGATATGGCTGCTATGGCCATTTAAAATTAAAAGACAGTAGCCTTGGCCTGCTTTTTGCTTTTTAGATCAGAGCCAGCGGGAGATGAGTGTAATTGCTATATATAGTAGCAAACAGCATGATAAACTCTCGGTTTCTATCTTGACTGGCTCCAATTACCTTCCTGCTTCAAAGACCATCTCTAGGAATAATACACTTGATGGAGGGTGACAAGCCAATAGTAAACCCTTTCTTATCAAAAGTTATATATATTTGACGGGGTTATGTTGTATTCTTCGATCTTCTCCCGAAACTGCTTAGATCTGGTCAGCCACGGCAGACTGTCCATAGTTTGGTCGTGATAGTAGCTCCCAGCCGCTGTAAAATCAGTAAAAGGGCAATCTTGCTAAATCCAATAAGCATTGAAAATACCTGGAATTATCAGCAGCTTTCCGCTGACGATATATGGTGCGTAGATACAAGCTGGAAAAGACAGTCGCCGTGTCGCTTGCGGAACCGCGTGACCCAGTTAATAGCCAGTTCAGTTCCTTTGATTTCATCCACAATGTTCTTTGGTATTTGAGGGGTTAGCAGGATCCCCCGATCGATCAACTTATTCACATACTTAATTGGAACTTCCTCCTGCATGTTGGTGAGTTTCTGTCGCGACTAACAGTTGGCTTCACGTATGGAGCCAGTTTTTGTCTTTGAAGCGATATCACAATGCTGTCTTGTTAAGACTGTATTTTCCGGCAGTTTCTCCAAATTTAGGGCGCTTTCGGGGTTTTAGTTCTAAAATCGCCCTGCGATACGCGTGTCGTGGTCCATTTTGTGGTGGATTGAAAAAGACGCAACGGGAATTATAAACTGCTGCATTATGTTAAGTGTTGCATCCCTTGGTTGACTACGTTAACTAATGACCTAGCAGGTATTAGAAACTAGCGGCGCGCAACCCAACTAAGGCAGGCGATCACATCCCCGCGACTGACACCGTCGGGGCTCTGGGGAGCCGACCCGATTTTAGTATCCATACTAACACGCTGCTGAAATGTGGTTCATGCTGTCGTCCCACCCATTTGTCACAGCTGAGACCGACTACCATCCCGCCAAAGTCGCTTCTTGCACCATCACTCATGTCTTTGCCGTACGCTCAATCAGTACTCATATGGAAGCACTCTCGTCCATTCGTTAATGAGGTGCACTACGTGTCCGCTCCCTAACGGCGTCACGCCCGGCACACAGTCATCGCTTAAAGTTTTCTTTATATGCGCGTAACAACTATTGATATGCGAGCCAGCTCTGTCACTTTCTTCCACTTCTACATTATTACCATGTAAGAAACAGCTTAGAGTTTATAAAAACAAAGTAATTATTGCAGGTCTTAGAGTGGAGTAATCTATATGTCTAAATGTCAAAATGTACATCTCTATATCCCGATAATCCCCGAGCCCAATCCAGTACAGCAACCAGCCAGGTGCCATTGTGCTTCTTCACTGCTTCCCCTCAAGGATCTTCTCCACCTGACGCGCCGCCGCGGCGCCCGAACTCATGGCGCCGTCAATCGTACAGGGGCCCATGGCCGCAATGTCCGCCCCCGCGAAGCTCAATCTTCCATGGCCTTTCCGGATCTCGACCGCGCCGTCCAGAAAGTGGCGCGGCGCGTGCATCATCCACCCGCCCCGCGAGAACTCGTCCGCGTTCCAGTCGTGCCACGCCGTGTCAATGACCTCCAGATCGGGGACGAACTTTCTCAAAGCGGCCTGCACGGCGGGGATGTCGTCGTGCTTGATGCCGTCGGACTGGGAGATCATGCACAGGATCATGGTGTCGTCGCCCCAGCGCTTCTCGACGCGCATGGTATTCAAGGGGTGCTCACCGGGGGGGGCGAGGGCGGAGAAGGGTGTGATGTGTCCGCGGACGCGCACCCACAGCTTGGAGCCGCGGACGGGGTTGCCGGTCTTGAGCATGGCCTGCACGGGTTCCGGCAGGGCAGGGGAGATGTCTAAGAGGCGCATGGTGTTGAGGGGCACGGCGACGACGACGGTCTTGGACTGGATCGCCTCGCCGGCGGAGGTGGTGACGGTGACGCCCTTGCCGTTGTCGGCAATTTTGGCGACGGGCGTGTTGAGGCGCACCTCGGCTTTGGAGGTGCTCTGGATGGCCTCGCTCAGCTTCGTCATGCCGCCGGGAATGCACCACGACCCGGCCGTCTCCAGCTCCGCGGCATAGTTCCCAAAGTTACTCGCCGTCGCGAACAACAGCTGCGTGGACCCTTGCTTCTTATAATCATGGCTCAGCCCGCTCAGCGCACCCTTGATGAGATCCGCATCATGCTTCGACAGCCCCATCGACTCGATCCGCTCCTCCATCGTCTCCATGTTGATGTCGCTGTTATCCGCCGCCGTCACGTCCCACGGCAGCGGGAACCTCTTGCGCGCGTCCTCAAACAACTTCCCCACGAGTCCATACGTCTTCTCGATTTCGCTCGTGTGGACTTTACCATCTGCGAGCTGGTAGTAGACTTCAGACTCCAGGGGCGGCTCGATGTGCGCGAGGCCGTGGCGCTCGAGCTCGGACCAGACGGCGGGCTGGGTCCAGTGCACGTAGCCGCCGCCGAGGTCGAACTGTCCGCCAAAGGCGTCGGTGGTGTAGGTACGGCCCCCGATGCGGTCGCGGGCCTCGAGGAGGAGGACCGAGTGACCGCGGGTGGAGAGGTCGCGGGCGGCAGTGAGGCCGGCCATGCCGGCGCCGATGACGATGGTATCGTAGACGGTCATGTCGTGATCTGGTTGGTGGTTGTAGTTGAGTTGGATGTTTGTGTGGCTCTAGTTGATGGTTGTATTGATCGATGAGTGTTCTATAAACAAACGGCCGACGCAGGGGTTTATATACTCAATCCATCCATCCGCCATTTGCACTCCTATCCAACACAGCCCTGCATCAGTTCAAACTAAACGTCATTCCATCTCCCCTTCGCCACCTGATCTCTAATCATGATGCATCTAGATGCAACTGGGTACGGGTACGGAAACACCAAACGGGCACCTATACTGTAAACCGTGGAGCGGACCTCTCGGGCGTCCGAATGCGTCGGTGTAGAGCCTGCACCACCCAGTGCCGGCGCCCGAGGACCCCGGGTGGTTGTTGTCAGTCCGGTACAGGTGGGGCACTCTAGTATGCAGATCCACGATTAACGCCTAATCCGGAAATACAATCTCATCAACCACTTATAGCTTTGACGGAATGACGTTTTTTCTTTTTTTTACTTTTTCTTTTTCTTTTTTTGCCCCGCCTTCTGTTGAGAAGCTTACTCTGTGGAGCTCCCAGAGTTTCCCCCCCCCCGCGGAATGGAAGCTCCCCAAGGCCAGCAGCAGTAAGGGTTTTAAGCCGAGTGCCGAGTGCCGACTGCCGTGACGAGCGAAGCAAGGAATCCAAGCGCAACGCCACCCGCTACAGATTATGGTGAGGGCTTGCACGAGTAGTGGCAGTGCTTGTATCCTTACCTGTTGTCCAGCTGCCAACTAAATGGTAAATATAGCGCTAGACTTTCCTACCTACCTGTTACACTAAGTAATGTTCTCGCGACGCCCAATTGGGTTTTTCTTTTTGTTTCTTTTTGCTTTTTCTCTGGTATGAACATGTACATGTAATATGCGCCCGTTGCTGCCCTATCATCGGAGGTCATGTGGCGAGAGGGTAAGAAGTTAAAACTTAAGTTATTACTTTCGTACTTCTGATGTCACATAATAGGCTACCTTCTTCTTGACACTATGAGCATTGCACGGTCAGGGCCTTGAACAGTTGAAAGGTACTTCACGGCTTGGAAATAACTCTTGTAACTTGTTGTGCGCAAAACCAGATTCACCTTCAACATTATGCACGTTTAACATTAGGCATAGAGAGCGTCCCAGCCCTCCGGTTATGAAAAGGTGCATTGTCCAGTCTCGACTGTCAACAGGAGAGCTTTGAGAGGGGTGTGTATGACAGTGTGCGGATAGATGCGACCAGCGCGCGCAGTTTGGTGCATTGTGATGGAGGCGAGAGCGAAATGTTTGTGAAGACGGCATGCGTGTGGGCGGAGACTGTAGCCAGTTACTACAAAGTCGGCCCTGACCGACACCAATACAAGCATTATCTATGACACACCTACGTCCCTACCAGGTCGTGTGGCTTGCACTGAAATTTCGCGAGCTGAAGCAGCTCAGAGTCTCCGTTTCATGGTACAAAGCTATCTGTGGCTTAGTAAAAACAATCTTTACTTTTGATCCAGGGACTGTATTTATATTTAGCTAAAAGTAAAAAGAGAAGAATCTAGACTAAATAGTCTAAGAGAATTTATAGTTAATAGTATTCTAGATTCATAAAGAATTACATATCTTATAAAATATAATTATATAACTAATAATAAACTATATTAAATAGTAATAGAATAGTGGTTTAATTTAAATAGATTTATGAGATTGCAAGTCGCGGTATGCTATGAGAGGTAGACAGTTGCCGACCCTTCGTAGGTCAGGGGGATAGCTATGGCCTTTATATACATTAGGGGTAGCTACGCTAAATCCCTTCCAAGTGGAGCTATAAG